TGGACACAGGGAGGGGAGCACTAGACACTGATGTCTGTTGGGGGGAAATAGGGGAGGCACAGTGGGGCTTGGGGAGTTGGGGAGAGATAGCATGGGGAGAAATGCCAGATATAGGTGATGGGGAGGAAGGCAGCAAATCACACTGCCATGTGTGTACCTATGCAACAATCTTGCATGTTCTTCACATGTAACCCAAAACCTAAAATGCAATAAAATACATTAAAAAAAAAGATTTAAAATAAGCTCTGCCTTTTAATTTTATTTCCATATCAAATTGTTTTATGAGAACATGTTCACATTTTGCTTGTTTCAAAAATAAAAAGAAGTTCAGCCTTGAGGCTAACATACCATGATAGTATAGGCCCATGAGTGGTTGGTTCTGACGAAAATTTTCCCATTATCCAGTTTTAGATGGCATTAATCATTAGCAAAAGCCATCAAGTATTTCATGACTACTTTATCTTCAATGTATCTTCGCTTAATTATTTTTTTAATTAATTATTTTTTTCTCAGACATAGAAATGTATTCTCTCTCTATTCACAGCTCTTGCTTGCTGTAAATGACAACCTCTTGGCCATCCCACTTTTCATCCATACACGCTTCATTCCTGCCTCTGGAAAGCTTTATTTAGGGCCAAACACATGAAGTTGAGTTGAATGAAGCTGTGTCATACTGAATTACCTGACCGCCTTTTTCCCCCAGTTTGTAGGCATATGAGTCACATTCATAAAATGTCATAAGCATGCTGCTATATTTATAACACATATTTCATATAGGGGTCTCTGAGATGCCACATCTGTATACTTCAAGCCCGATATCGATCCCTATTCCATTCCAATCTTTATTTTACTATCTCCTTGATTGGTTTTGTCATCACACTTCACCTTGTCATTAATCCCTTGCTATTCTCAAGTCTTTGTGATAAAGAGGCTGACTTGCCTCCCAATTTCAGATTGCCACCTTGAAGCATCTATTCACAAGGATTCAATAGATTTTAAAGCTCTGGGTCCCATACAACTCTGATTTGGCACTCGGAGTAGAGATAGTTTATTTCTGTATCACAAACTTATGATTTCTTGCATATTTTTTTCTCCTGGATAAAGCATGGTACTAGGAACCAGGAGACCCAGCCACTAGTCTCCTTTGGTTCTCCTTTTGGGTCAATGTAACTTCAAGAGACATCCCTATGTCCTCTGAATTACCACTTTCTCCTATGAATGGCTGACTATGCACGTCAGTCTTTCTACAACATAGGGTTGTAGTAAATCACATCCTTAGCCATTCTATTCCTCATTCTCTCTCTCTCTTTTTGAGAGTCTTTCTCTGCTGCCCAGGATGGAGTGCAGTGGCAAAATCTCAGCTCACTGCAACCTCCATCTCCCAGGTTCAAGCAATTCTTGTGCCTCAACCTCCCAATAGTTGGGATTACAGGCGTGTGCCACCATGCCTGGCTAATTTTTGTATTTTTAGTAGAGAGAGGGTTTCACCATGTTGGCCAGGCTGGTCTCAAACTCCTGACCTCAGGTGATCTGCCTGCCTCAGCCTCCCAAAATGCTAGGATTACTTATGGTTTGGGTTTTAAGATTATACATTATTCCATGAAAACCTTCCCCGACATCTTAGACAAAGAGGACCCCCAATTTAAATATTCTCATTGCATCTTGCATTACTTCTTTTAAACCCCCCATCACTCTTGTGATTGCTAGCTCAATTCTGCCTTTTTTCATCTTACCCTCAAGCACACTGTAAGCTCTGTGAGAGTGGAGACTGTGCTTATTTCTTTCAGGACTATCCTAGTGTCTAGCACATAGTTGGTACTCAGTAAATATTAGTTGATGGATCAAAATATAATGTCAATAAAAGTGCTTTTTAGGTAAGAAGTTAGCACTACGATCATTGTCATTATTGTTATTACTATTAGTAATTAGTTATTTAGTGATAGTACTAAAGATAATTGTAGTAGTTTTATATTAGCAGCATTGTCACCGTCAAATATAGGACAGAAGGAGGACCACAAAATAATACATATTATCAAGATTCATTGTAAGCTTTTCCTCTTATTACCCTCCATTTTTTAAACCGACAGAAATAAATAACTATGAAGAAAATGAAAAGGTAGTCTATGAAACAGGGGACAATTGGAACACCATATTTCTGAAAAGTAGATACTATCTAAAAGATACAAGAAACTCATACAAGTCAACAGCAAAAACAACTACAACAAAAACTAAAAAACAAAAACAAATACAAAAAGCAAATAATCTGATTTAAAAATGAACAAATTCAGGGTAGACATTTTTCCAAAGAAGGCATATGAATGGTCAATAGGTATATGAAAAAGTGCATACTATTACTAATTATCAGGGAAATGCAAATTTAAACAATAAAGAGATATCACCTCACATCTGTTACAATGGTTAACATCAAAAAGACAAAAGATAACTATTGGGCAAAGGTGTAAAGGAAAAATAACCCTTTTACACTGTTGGTGGGGATTTAAATTGGTAGAACCATTCTGAAAAACAGTATGGAGATTTCTCAAAAAATTAAAAATAGAACTACCATTTGATCCAGTAATCCCACTTCTGGACATATGCCCAAAGGAAATGAAATCAGAATCTCAAAGAGGCATTGCAGCCCCAAGTGTACTACAGCATTATTCACAACGGTCAAGTCAAGGAGCAACCTAAGTGTCACTGATGAATGACTGGATAAAGAAAATGTGGGTGAGGATGTGGAGAAATAGAAACATTTTTACACTGTTGGTGGGAGTGTAAATTAGTTCAACCATTGTGAAAGATAGTGTGGTGATTCCTCAAGGATCTATAAATGGAAATTCCATTTGACCAGCAATCCCATTACTGAGTATATACTCAAAGGATTATAAATCATTCTACTATAAAGACACATGCACACGTATGCTCATTGAGTCACTGCTTACAACAGCAAAGACCTGGAACCAACCCAAATGTCCATCAATGATAGACTGGAAAAAGAAAATGTGGCACATATACACCATGGAATACTATGCAGCCATAGAAAACAATGAGTTTGTGTCCTTTGTAGGGACTTGGACAAATCTGGAAACCATCATTTTCAGCAAACTGACACAAGAACAGAAAATCAAACACACATGTTCTCACTCATAGGGAGTTGTTGAACAATGAGAACACAGGGAGGGGAGCATCACACACTGGGGTCAGTTGAGGGTAGCTAGGCTAGGGACAGCAGAGGGTAGGCAGGGGGGAGGGATAACATGGGGAGAAATGCCAAATATAGATAATGGGGGAATGGAGGCAGCAAACCACCTTGCCATGTATGTACCTATGCAACAACCCTGCATGATCTGCACATGTACCCCAGAACCTAAAGTACAATAAAAAAAGTAAGAAAATGTGGTATAGACATACAACGAAATATTACTCAGCCATAATAAAGAAAAAAATCCTGCTGTTGACAACAGTATGGATGAACCTGGAGGACATTATGCTAAGTGAAATGAACTAGGCACAGAAAGACAAATACTGCATCATCTCATTTATATATGGAATTTCAAAAAGTCAAATTCATTGAAGCAGAAAGTAGGATGGTAGCTACCAGGGGCTGGGGACAGTGGGTAGAAACGGGGCGATATTAGTTATCAGTTAAAAGATGGCCACGTTCTCAGGATCTAATCAACAACATGGTTCATTAATGGTTAATCATACTGTATTGTATACATGAGATTTGCTAAAAGATTAAAGTATTACCCCCCACACACGCATGCACAGAGGTTACTATTGAATATATGAGGACATGGATGTGTGAATCAGCTTGGTTGCAAGGATTGTTTTACAGTGCACATATATCAAATCATCACATCGCATACCTTCACTATTTAAAATTTTTATTTGTTAATCACACCTGAATACAAACAGAAACAAAAAGAATTAAATAAATCTATGCTAAAATGGCCATATAAACATAGCCCACTGTAATGGTTCAGAGTAAAATTTTATTTTTTATGTACCAATTCTTGAGTCCCTATCTGGAGAAAGACCCAAAAGAAAGAAAGGAGAAACAGTCTAATCCCATGGCAGATGTGAACACGTCTCCAAATTATGAGGGTGGGATGAAAAGAATTATGGAAACCACCCCTTACGAGAAGAGGATTTGTCACTGAAGACCAAAAAGGCTAAATACAATAAAATTCTCCAGGTGGAAGAATCGATTATCTGTTCCTAAGAGTGGGCTGCTTGGAGGGAAAATGGAAGTAGTGAAAATACTATGGAAAGTTAGGGTTGCTATTCTTTTTAAGGTGACATTATTTTGAATGAGTTACTGATATTTGGGGGCAGGGAGGGGGAACAAAGCAAGAGAAGATGTCAGATGGCCCCCTGAAGAAGAGATAAAGGAGTTTATTGGGCCTTATGAGAAGCTTGGAGAAGATGGGGATTCCAGAAAGTTCACAGGCAGGGACCTGAGGTGCTATCTTCGAATCACTGTGAGACTCTATCTCATGAGGACTCTCAGGCTCCACCTGCAATCTCATTGCCTCCTGTTTGCTGTTGGTGTGCTTTGCTAAAGAAACGCCTCTATATTATGTTCCTCTGAAAGCTTGCAGAAAAACAGAGAAACTATGTGTCAAAATATTTTTTCCCAGGTACTCAGTGAGATATTAAATTGAATGAATTTGCCCACCGCCAATAACTCAGACCTTTGGTAAAGAATCTTTTTATAAGATTTTACATGTCAACAAAATTTTTCATTGATTCAATACTGCAGAAATGCTCTTACATGCATGCATTCAGCCATCAGAAATTAATCAAATCCCTACTATGTGTCTTTAAAAAAAAAAAAGCTAGGTCCTGGGAATGCAGGGTGGAGTGAAGTACCATCTCTAACTTCAGGGTCATAAATATGGGCAAATCTAAAGCTTAAAAAGCCATGGATTTTCTTGGATAAAATCAAATTCAAAGACCTTTGCTGGGTGATTTTTAAAAATGGCATTGTACTGCACCTGGAGGCAGGCTGGGGCGCGTCCCTGGGGCTTGTTGACATCCACAGCTACCAGCTGCCAACCTCCAGCAGCATCTTCATGAAACATCTTCAAGACAAAGAAGGGAGATGAGTCAGAGACATTTAATATGGAACATTGAGAACTCTACGTCTCCAGCTTTGTATATTTTTATGCTATCAAAAATTTGTCTCCTTATGGATTTATATTTGGAATAGAAGTCATTTCAATTATACTTAACATTGAAAACTTAAGTGAATGAAAAAGGAGCAATTATAATAACTTGAGTTTATTGATTGCTTGCTATGCCAGGCACGTTCTATCTTGCTTAGGCTTTGCATATAATTGATCAAATATTCTTCTCCACAAGAGAAATACTTTAGTATTTTATCCCCATTATACTGATAAATATCTATTAGATCTGGGAGAAAATGAAAACTAGAATTAAAAAGAATTTTGTCTGGTGTGTTTTTAATATAGACAGCAAATTTTAATTTTTATTCAGTGGACAGTTCTCACTAACCTAATAAAAATATTCTCAGGATCAATAAAATAAGAAGTGTGCATGTGGCAGAGGGGAAGAACTGGTGTGGTTTTATTGGTAGAAGACACATTGCTTAATAGACTTTGTGTAATTATTTTAATTAGGCAGCAATTAATCTGCTGAATGGAAATTTCATGTACATATTATAAAGGGAACAAGTAGTTTCTTTTGGCTTAAAGACCTAAGTGATGAAATTCAAGATGCTACAGGCCTACAAAACTGAAATCCATTGAATTAGATATCTAGGTTATTATCTCAAAACTACTTATGTGTCAATATTACACCTAACTGGAAGACACTGATGCATATTCTCCCATTAACACATTTTTCTTTCTAGTTCCTTAGAAGTGAGTGTGTATGTGTGTATGGTAGAAATAGGGCAAAATTATTTTTTTTTCTAAGTAAAGACACTAACTGGAGACACTGCTTTATTCCTGTCTAAGGTCACTATTTTACAGAAACAAATATTTCCTTTGCTATCCTTATTTATGTCCTCCTGTTAAACTGACCGTGTATTCAAATGGGTAACTGCTGATGGAAATATAAATCAGATGATGCAAAGATCCCATTACCTAAGATCTGTAATTAAAATTTCAAACCCCTGGTAGTAGTGGTGGTAGATCCTTTGTGGAAAATAAACTTGCCTCCTATAAAATGATCGAGGTGGTGTGAGAGAGTTGCCAAAAATCTCAGGCCTTATTTTATTTATCTATTTAATTTTGGAGATGGAGTCTTGCTCTGTCATCCAGGCTGGAGTGCAGTGGCATGATCTCGGCTCACTGCAGCCTCTGCCTCCTGGGTTCAGGCAATTTTCCTGCCTCAGCCTCCCAAGTAGGTGGAACAACAGGCACCTGCCACCAAGCCCAGCTAATTTTTTTTTTTTTTTTTTTTTTAAGCAGAGACAGGGTTTTACCATGTTGTCTAACGTGGTTTCAAACTCCTGAGTTCAGGCAATTCCCCTGCCTCTGCCTCCTATATGTATTTTTAAATGACAAAATTAAGGTGCACATTTACATAAAGATACTTTGACAAAGATGCCAACTGCAAATTGCTCATCTCAGCTGTCCATGTACAAGATTCTCATTTTCTTTAGAACAAACTGCCAAAGCTCTTTTTGGGGTGAATCAAGCCTATCCTTCCTCAATAAGCTCATTCTGAGAATACAGACATCAGTGGAGATGCAAACCTGTTACAGGACCTTGTAAAGTTTCTGTCAAAATTCTGGAAGCCTTGTTTTAAGGACAAAAGACAAAACCAGCCCTGCCAGTCATCAGTTATGCATAAAATCCCTCTGCTGATACATCCTATACTCTCTAATTGTGACATAAAGGATCCCTGGGGCATATATTTACTTTGATCAGTAGCAGACTAATTTTCTCTGTTAAATTATTTTTTTTCAGTGGACCAATATCAAAAGAATCAATTTAATTTTCAGTAAAAGTGTTCTCTCAAGGTCATTTATTTGTATGAAATAAAGTAAAGGAAATGTAAAAATGTTCCATTTCACTTTAGTCCCCTGAATTATACAACATTTAGATTGGTTAATATTTGGTAGATCTTTGAGAGAGAAGTTGGGATTGCTAGCAGAAGCCAAGAATCCTCAGAGACTCAAATCCTTGCGGGGAGTATGATAGGGACTACCAGCCTTCCCTTTGAATCTCCTTTCCCTGTTTTACAAAGAGAATCTGTATGGGGCCACTAGGCTACCAAGAAAAAAGGGTAGTTCTTGTCCGTTCTTTGAAGCTCACCTTGACCATGTAACTACATACAGGCCTATAGGAGGCAAACAGAAATCCTCTCTTCCTATATTTCCTTCTTCTTCCTGTACTCTGGAATGTGGATGTGAGTGTCAGAGCTACAGCAGCCATGCTAGTCTACGAGGTGACTTTGGTAACAGAGGCTGTGTGACGTGGAACAGAAAGGAAGGTGTCTGGATCCATGGCAACACAGACAACCGTGAGACACTGAATGACCACCTCCAGCTTTATATGAGAGAGAATGGGATTCCTCATCGCATACCTCATCTAAGCAAGTTATTTTTTTTGGTCTCTTGCAACTGAATGTAACGTAACTAGTACACGTGGTTTCTGTTAGAATGTCCATTAATTTTTTTTTTCATTTTACTGATGCAATTTTCCTTTCTCATTCTATAATTAAATATTTTACTGTTAAACACTTAGAAAATGAGGACGGGTTGTAAAAAAAATCTTAAACCCATTCCCCAGAGACAACCACCACTAACATTCTAGAGTTAACGTTCCAGGTATTTTACACACACACACACACACACACACACACACACACGCACTCCCCACACAAACATGGGATACTTTTTTTTTGTACTAATATGTCACCAGCATATCTTCACATCTATAAAGTTCAATGCTTATTTTAATGGTTTGCTTTTATTCCAATTTCATACTTTGTAATCAATAACTTACTGCTAGAGATTAAGATTGTATCAATTTAAAAAAATTTGCCAAAATGCCTCATAAACATCTTCAAACATCCTTGACTACTGCCCAACATTTTTCTTTGGATATATTTCTAGAAGTAGACTCTTTTGGTCAGATAGTATATATGCTTTATTTTTGGATACATATTGTCAAACTGTCTTCTAGTAAAGATGTTTTAATTTACACTCTTGGCAACAATGTATGCGAATGTCCCTTTCTCAGCCAGCAATAAATGCTGTCTTTTTTTGAGAAAAGAAAAGTTACCAGGGGGCCAGAACAAAGATAGCGTGTTGACAGCAGGGCTTGTAATGGCTAAATTGAAAGGAGGTAGAATCTCATGCTGAATAAAAAGGCTCTTGCAGCTGAGCAACCTGGTTTTGAGTCCCAGTTTTACCACTAGCTGGTTATATAACATTGGGGATGATAATTAACTTTCAATCATTGTCATTTTTTTACATGCAAAGTGGAGACAATCATAGTGCCCACTTCACAGTGGTATTGTGAAGTTTAAATAAGACAGGTTGTAAAGCTATTAGGCTAGTGCAGATCTCAATATATGGGAGTGATTGTAAGATGTTTTGAATTAGTGGAATATCACCAATAACACCAAATAATTTCCCTGGCACTCTCCTCTTAGCACAATCGTTTGGAAGCCCATGGTGATTTCAGCTTTGAGAATTCTTTCAGGCCTGTCTATTTGCAACTACTAGAGTTTTATAACTGGTCACTTGGTTTGCAAAGTAGTTAAAAATGCTTTGGGGATTGTTCTACTCTAGACATAATATCATCACCATCATCAACATGAATAACAGGTTATCTAACGGACAGTGGTAAAAGAAAGAATCTTGGTAACGAAGAATCACTAGCAGCTGAATTAGAATTCCAAACTTCAGACACGCACACACACACATCTGCATACATAGTAATGCAGAGAAAAATCTAAAATTTACTTTGCAATTTGTATGCTCTTTGGGTTCTTTGAAAATTGATGGCTTTAAAAAATAGCTAATAGTCATTATGATATAAAATAGTAAGAGTGGACCCCTGGCTTGATTTCATTATGAAATAATATATTCAGTGATACAGTCTCACAAAACGTAATTCTCATTTATGGCTTCCTATGATGACTGTGTTATTCCATTATTATTGTTTCAATAAGAAACCATATTATTAGAAGGAGTTCCCTATTACACCACTCTAGAAGCACCCTTCTTTGAAATGCATTCATTAAATTTTTTTCTCACATATTTTAATGATGCAGATTCAGGAGGAAATGAATGGCTTTGGAACAGTAAAGACATTTTTGCTAAAGTGTTGTCTTTGAGCATTAAGAAATTCTTTCCATTTTTGGTTATGAGTCTTTTCATCCATTCTTTTCTACTTTTTAACCCAGCACTACCCGTTTATGCATAAGTTGCTTTAGGCATTGCATAGCCCATATTCTAAGAATGTTGATGGAAAGCCAAAGTAGGAAAAACTCAAAAGTGCCCTCTATTCCCACACCAATTCTACCTTTATCAGTCTTCTCTCCTTATTAGGGGATGTTAATTCAGAAAGCACATGTCAGCAAGAGTGCTCAATCAGAGATAATAACAGACCCAGAAGTGATTGCTGTCTTTGTACAATCAGAATATTTATTCATTTACCAAACCTTCAAATATGACCCTATTGGACTATGATTCATTTATAAAAGTTAGGTATGTACTGACTGTCACAGGCCTGCTTTCTGTCTCTTATCATTTTAACAGAAAAGTAGTCTCATGTGGCTCTCAAGTTTAGTAGTTCTTTGAGTTCTGCTCGAGGCAAAGTTGAGATAGGTTCATCTCTATCATGAGCTGGCCTAGGTCAGAGGACCACAGGACTGGTAACAGTCATCTGAGGTAAAGCATCTAAATAATGGGAGTAAAGGTCTGGGTTAGTGAGATACAGTACTCAGGGCTTCGTCTTTCAGTTCATCTGCACATCCCAACATCTAGTGATGGGACATCACTGAAAAGTTGTGTCCTGGGTATCCCTATAGCAGATTAACATGGGGAGGGGGCATTATATCATGGGTGTATGAATCACTTATCCTCCAACCCACTATACAATTGAGCACAAGGCAATAGTTACCCATATCCAAGAATTAGGCAGGTATGAAATCACAAGCTTCTCAGAGTCCAGACAGACTCAATGCTTAGTAATTTGAAATTTTCTACATAATTTTCCTTCTGTTTTCCAGTTATCTGTTATATTATGGTCTCCTAAAGACCCTTGGCATTAATCTTTCTGTGATTTGTTCCTATGCTGTGTCTTGGGGGCATTTGGTGGTGACCATTCAATTGAAAAATATTGCTTTGCTATTTTAAAGAAACAGTCTTCATCACAGATTTCCTTTCACCTCCCTTGAAATGGTCCCTATCAGAGCCAGTTCCTAGTCATCTACCTAAAACAACAGAAAGCCCCTTCTTTGTTCTGAAAATGTGCATATATATGTATATGTATAAAAATAAAATAAAAATATATATACATATATATACACACACATATATATATACACATATATATACACACATATATATACGTATACATATATATATATACATATATTTTTTTTATTTTATTTTTTTCTACATGCACGGCTGTTAGGGTATGTCTGCAGACTCAGACATCAACAAGTCCAACAAGCTCAGGACCCTTTAGTCCTTTGATGAAAACAGCCTTTTAACAACTGCAAATTTTTCATATGCTAGAGAAAGGCATAACAAGAATAAACTTACATGTCTGAAAAGCTGTGTGTGTTAAAATAATCGTCTATATTTTATTTCTTTCAAATTAGTAACTTGTGATTTAGTGTTTTAAACCACTGAATAAGAAGTCCCTGTTCTCAGAATTTGGTCAGATTTTACAAACATAACAGCATCATGGCAAATGATGTCTCTCCCTTCTCTACACATAAACGCATCAGAGGGCCCATTTGTAAGTGGCTAGCTAGGGTGGGCGGGGCCTGAAGCCTGTTGCTAGGCTGCCTGAGACTGTTTCACCCAGAGGCTGACAGCAGGAGCGTTGGTTGCTTAGCAACCAGGTCTTCAGCTATAGCATTTTTCTTAATCAAGGTTTTTCACAATTCTCTGTGTGATTACCTCTACTGAATATCTAGACACATTACCTCTGAATTATCAAATTATTCCTTTTGATTAAGTGCAATTTTGCATCAAAATGATTTTGCACAACTTTGTTCCAAGCCTGTTCCTACTTCCCTTTCTATTAGAACCATTGGCTGACTAGGTGGTGCTTCCAAATGCTATTTCTCCAGCTGTGATTTTATACTTGAGAGTAACTCCATAAAAATGCTATGGTTTTAAAGGCATTTCAGGTAATCTCCAGGAACACTGCATGTGACTTAAGGGCTGAGTTCATAGTTACATGTTCCATTTAGGACTCAAAGTCATAACCACAAATATGTCCTTCTAGAGGCTGTCCCCTCGGAATGAACTGGGAATTTTCTTATCTCTCATAGTTTGAAAAAAGAGAGGAGAGAGGAGATAAGAACTTGCTATGGTTGATTTCTCATAGGCTTTTCTTCATGGCAACTCTGATATAACCTGGATAGCATATTCAAAAAACCTTTCATGGAAGTTTGAATAGTCATTTGTCAAAATTGAATAAGACTGACACCATTTCATCTATAATGAATTGACTAGACAATTAAGACTTTTACAGCATCATAAAGATGCCTCAACACCATAAGATTTTTCCCAAATTAGTGTGTTTAATTGCACTTTAACATATAATTATTAAAGCTCAATTTGAAGGTTTTCAAAAGTAACCCTCAGCTCCTTGATAGATATCTTTGTCTTAATAGTTTTACAAGTATTTACAGACATGTTAAATTTCCTTTAGAACTTGGTATTATAATATTTACAAGGCATTATGTCATTTTATTCCTGATTCTGGAATTCTTATTTTCTCTCTCTTTTATAAAGATTCACGCTAGAAGAAGGTGTATAAAACTGCCCTTCCTTTTTTAAACTACCATAAACACACACACATTAAACAAAACCAAAAATAAAAACATAGGCATTTTTTATCTGATTATTTTGATCTAAATTGCCCTCTTATGTAATAACTGCTCTGCGGCTTTTAGCAAATTTGTAGGCCACCTCTAAATTCTCAGGAGCCTTATGGTTTTATGGAAACAATATTGTCTTATGGGAACTTATGGGAATCCTTCTGAAAATAAAGGGATTCCTTAAAAAATCATAAACATGCATTTGGAGTTGAGGGATCTTTTTCACAGTTTATTGTACTATGGTTTGTTCTGAATAAAATGTATTTTCCATTACAAAATTCTAATCCTACACATAGACATTATATAGGAGTGCAAATACATGAATAAATACTCATAAAAGTGAGAAATTCTATACTGTTTATATTTTATCTGCAAGCCATTTGAGGACTTGTAAGAATCAAAGATATGTAATAAACAGGGTTGCCAACCTCCGTTTTGTTTCAAAAACACCCACAGAGCTATTAAAAAATATAGGTGTCATTACTCCACTGGCTAGAAGCTCTGATTTGATTATTCTGGGTTTGGACCTTTTAACCTGTATTATTTTATTTTATCTTATGCTTTTTGGGGGATAGGGCCTTGCTCTGTCATCCAGGTTGGGGTACAGTGTTGTGATCACAGCTCACTGCACTTTTGACCTCCTGGGCTCAAGTGATTCTCCCATCTCAGCCTTCTGGGTAGCTGGGACCACAAGCTCATACCACTACTGTTGGCTAATTTTTAAATAATTTCTTTTCTTTTTATTATTTTTTTTCTGAATTGAGATGGAGTCTCACACTGTTGCCTGCGCTGAAGGGCAATGGCACAATCTTGGCTCATTGCAACCTCTGCCTTCCAGGTTCATGTGATTCTCCTGCCTCAGCTTCCCGAGTAGCTGGGATTACAGGCACACACCACCACACCTGGCTAATTTTTTTTTTTTTTGGTATTTTTAGTAGAGATGGGGTTTTACTATATGGGCCAGACTGGTCTCGAACTTCAGACCTCGTGATCCGCCCGTCTTGGCCTCCCAAAGTGCTAGGATTACAGGCATGAGCCACCACGCCTGGCCAATTTTTCAAAAATTTTTGTAGAGATTGGGTCTTGCTACATTGCCTAGGTTGGTTTTAAAATCCCGGGCTCAAGCAATCCTTCCCCTCAGCGTCCCAAAGTGCTGGAATTACCAGCATGAGCCACTGTGCCTGGCCTGACCCTGTATTTTTAAATAGCTTCCTGAGTCAGACTGCAGAAGCCCATCATGCAAGAGATTCCCCAGGTTCCACTGACGGTGAGGCTGGGACATGTGCATGCTCGAATGGGTTATGGCATCATCTTGCTGATACCGTACCTGGGTGGTGGCTGTTGAGGTAGTGCTGCTTCTCGATCCCCACATTTGTTGAAACTGTACTCTGATTTCTGCAAATGTTTCAATGATAACAGCAATAAACACATTCTGAAAAAAATCACAAACATTTACCAAACTCTAAGAATGACAAAGCAGAGGGCAACCAGAACCAAACCAAACATCTGCAGAACTATCACAGAACATAGACCTTCTTAGTACAATGCTTTTCAGTACCTTCACGAGCCAGGCGAGGAAGAAAATGAGAGTTATGAAATAGAAGTAGGAACGCCAGCGGGGAAAGCTGTCGATTGCTCTGTACATGAGGAACACCCAGCCTTCCTGCGAGGCAGCCTCATAGACGGTGAATATACTGGTTCCTGCCATGAGAGAGGAGGTCAGACTGAGTCACAATTGACGTTTGAAATAAGAAAGCATTTTCCAGAAAAACGATCAATATTTATCCATACTCATTTTCTCAATGGCAAAAGCTCTTCAAAAAGGGATTACAATCCCATGTAACATTTTACTGTTCTCATTCTTAAAATTTTAATAAAGTTGTTTCTGGCTTCAAGCTGGGGTAATTTCAGTATCTCTAGCAATAGGATAGTTTGATATTATACCTTTAGCTGTTAAATGCAAGTAATAATGTGGAAAAGGAAATAAACAGTCAAACCAAGTATGTATAGGTATAATTTGAAAAAGGATGTGTACCATTTAAGCTTGCCACTTGGAGCCTAACACATCCAATCAACTGAAAAGCACCTGCTATAATTTTAACCAAAATGAAATAGACTAGAGAATTGGGTTTCATTTGAAATAACTTTGTCATAGGGAGAGTAAAGTATCTCGGGCTCCAAAATTAATATGATAGGGTTTGTCTTTGGGTTCCATGGTGTTTACTGAACACCAAAATGTAAGGCAGTGAATCACCAAATAGGACTTTGTATTTTCCAGGAGAATTATCTCATAGAAAATACTTCTAGTAATGGAAAGAAAGAAAAGTTACAAATATGTGGACAGATTTTTTAAAAATTTATTTTATTGCATTTTAGGTTTTGGGGTACATGTGAAGAACATGCAGGATTGTTGCATAGGTACACACGTGGCAGTGTAATTTGCTGCCTTCCTCCCCATCACCTACATCTGGCATCTCTCCCCTTGCTATCTCTCCCCAACTCCCCACCTCCCACCGTCCCTCCCCTATTTCCCCCCAACTGACCCCAGTGGACAGATTTTTTAACGCTGGTTAAGAGAACCTAAAATGTCATGCAGCTAGAAGATATGTTTAATCCTAACAATACTATGAGATGTTTTACAGATGGGGAAACTAAAGCACACAAAGATGAAGTGACTTGTCTAAGGACACAAAGATAATAGGAAGGGAACTGGAATTCGCTCAGTCCTTCTGGTACAAGGCCCCACACATCAAACTGTGATGATGTCTTGTCACTTAATAGCCTTTCTGTAGTCAGTTTCTCCATCTGTAAAATGGGAAATAACACAGACTTTATAGTGTTGTGAAGATTCAATGATTTAATTCCTGTAAATCATAGGGTAGGTTCTTAAGATATTTCAGGTATCATTATGATTATAAAATTGAAAATAATTGCTCAATATGCTTTTGTGAGAAAACACACATAGCATTGAAGTTATTTATAAAATAAATATGACATGTTGCTATTTATAGAACTGTTAAACATTGGTATCTCAATACATTCTACTACTATAAATGAGTTTTATTATTACAGAATATAAAACCAATCTCTACTCATATATGTTCTCATTCATAGAATTTAAAACTAGAATTTGCATATGACCAAATGTCCAAACTAAGAGGGTTGCTGAAGTTGGGGCAGCCTCACTGCTTCTTTGAGCCTGTGCATGGGAAAGAAGAATCCAAGCATCAGTGAACACCAAAGCATGCAAAACAGAAGGAAAGTCCAGCCACAGACTTAGCGACAAGAGAAAAAAAGAGGCTGGAAAAGAAGAACTGAAAGAAGCAAAGCATATTCCTGTTGCCTGTTATACATGAACGTGCGCTAATATACTTCACATAGAATATAACTTTATAAATGTCCTGCCTTTCATTCTAAAAATCATATTTTGTACATTGGTGCTGTACCTCCTTGTCACAACAGCTGGGATGTGTAAAGCAAGTTGAGTTTCTAGGCTCTTTAACACACAGGCTGAGGAAATCTCTGTCTTATTAGCTAGGCAGATGGGGAAGTGGGGATGAGGGTAGATATTATCAATACCATCTTACAGATAAAAAAGTGAAGGTCACTGGTTAATGAAGGTACCCAAGGTGGAAAGTGATAGAAATTTAAACCATATCATCAGGTCGTAAATCTTTTTTCTTTATTATGCTATTTATATTTTCTCTTGCTTGAGATTGGGGCTTTAAAAATAAATTATTAATGTGTACAAACAGAATTAGATAGAAGGAATAAATTCTGATGTTTCATGGCAGAGAAGGGTGATTACAGTTGACAACAATGTACTGTATATTTCAAAATAGCTAGCAGAGAGGCCTTGAAATGTTCCCAACACATAGAAATAATAAATGCTTGAGGTGAGGAATATCCTAAATACCTTGATTTGATAATTATACATTTTATGCATATGACAAAATATCATAGGTGCCCCATAAATATGTACAAATGTTATGTATCAATAAAAATGTTAAAAAGAGATTATTTTCTCTTATTACCTTTAAATACACCTAATGTTTTTCTGAGAGACTATGATGGCTAAGTTTATTGTTTGGTCATCTTTAAACATAAAACCAATTAACTATAAAATAATTCCTTTTGTTTCCACATTATTTCTTTAAAAGTTGACTTTTAAGAAAATGTTCAGAGAGGAACAACATATATATAAAATGTCAGCAGCAAACAGAGGTAACTGTTTTTGTTAATGATTCATAGGTACTAATACTGGACAATATCTTTGCTTATGTGCAGTGAGTATGAAACATTTTTAACATAAAACAATTTATATTCCATATTTTCCTCTAGGTTTTTGAATGAAAACAAAAAAGTAGCTACACAAATCCATTATTATCTACCATTAAAGTTTAATAGCTATACTATCTGAGCATTTTCAGGTAAAATATGGAGCTTATTACTGTAAGATTAAATTTGAGAGGAACATTGAAAATTATCCTCCCTCTTCCTGTCCAGATCTTTCTTAATTACATCTACAAGCAAGATGTTATTTGGAGTTATGTAAAAAGGAGCACATTTAACAAGCAGTCTTGAAGCTTCTAGTCCATTTTTTTTTTCCTACCTGGACAGAGGAAGAAAGGAAAGAAATAGAAACCCACAGTACAGCTCAAAGAAAAGGGTTTGTTGATACAAAGAGATGAAATATTTGTGAAAATATAACCAAAGCCCTCCCCAGGAAGATGCTGGCTATGGGAAGAAATGTTTCCCACATGTGAATTGCACTGCGTAGAAAGGCTGTGAAGAAGTCACAGTTGCACAGGCAGAGGCAATTGACTGAGATGGTCCTTCCTCATCACTTTTATACTCTCAGCTTTGCCAAATACAGCAAAAGAAATCTTTTCAAAAATGTTTTTCCAATAGTTGGCCAGCATTTAAACCAGCAACAATCAAATTTACGATGCTCTCATTTTCTTTGGGAAGTAGAGGACCCTGAGAAAGAAATGGTAGCTACGGAAACCTGTTTTGTAAGTCCCGTTCTTGCTGCTGGCCCTGCCCTGCTTGCCTCGAGCCCTCTTGACAGAGTCCTGGGCTGCCCAGCTCACCTCTCCTCTGCCCTCAGCCACACCAGGCGGTGGCCCTCCGGACTCCCAGAGAGCCTCCCGTTCACCTTGTGCCACATCACTAGTCACGCTGGATTCTCTACCTTGTCTGTTTTCCTCACTAGGTGTGAGCACTCCAAAGTTAAAACTGTATCGTTCATTTCTGTACCAGGAACTGAGGAGCACTCAAAGGTTGTTGATAAATTAAACAATGATTATATAGCCTGTAGACATACGAAAGGGTTTCTCAAATATTTGCTTTTCAATGAATTCTTCCTCAATATGAGCACTGCACAGATAGTTTGAAAACTATTTTATAATGAATTGACTTTGTGTTGCTGATTTTCAAAATTCACTTGAAACACATGCACGCTCATATATAAACGTAAAAACCCATCCTATACACACAGAAAAGTCTTCCTCTACTGTTTGATCCAACATGGGAAATATCTAGAAAGCACATTCATACATATAAAATATTTTTTCTAGATGTGCTGCAGAATATTTTTAGTCCATTTTAATTATAGAATTAAAATTTCTGGCTAAAAGACCATATTTTTGTTAAATGAAAAATGATGCTACAAACAGCACCTGGGAATATAATGCATTAGCTTTTTAGAGAACTATAAGATCTGTTCCAAAAATATCTCTGGGGAGCTCCTGGAATAGCACTACTTTCTCCGACCCCAAACTCAAGGCACAAATTAAAGGTGTGTAAGAAACGCAATCACAACAACAATACTGAGCTCATCAATTTTCCTGATTTCATTCATTCTTTCTGACCTCTTCCACTGGTGGTTTAAATTTATTAAATAAGATCACAAGTCTATATTTAGAAGATAAGTGCTAACCTTGAAACTCTCTACACACTGCCTGCTTTGAGAATGAGTATGGGATTTTTTTATAGCTCTGAACAAACCTATATTCCCATCTGTTTTGATTACCTTCAGGATTTTATTTACTGCTTTGCCCTCTTCTGCTGACTCTTTTCCCATGAAAAAAGCGGCAAGATATTTGTGTTTTGGGAGTATTCCCGTTAGTTTCTTCTAGTCTCACATTACATAACCACATTGTTGTTCCTCTCTCAAGTGAGAGGGTCACAAATTTGTGGTGATAACTAGCAAAACACTATAAGCCTGGGGTCCCACCAGCAAACCTCTCTCCAAACACAAAATATCTATAATAGTATTCTAATGATGGTAATACCTGATCTACTGTGATGGAACTTGGGAAGTTAGAGTTGGTGATGTAGGCTTGAGGTAAGTGGAATAAGAACGAGTCAGTACTGAAGGGCTTGGTCTGAATAATCACCTTCACTTCCACACTCAGAATTTTTAAAAGAACAAAGAGGATTTATTTTAGGACCATCCATTTCTTTCTCTCTCTGGGGTTTGGATCCTCAGCAATGATCTTGAACTTTAACTCCTCCAGGGATACGGGACACCCCATCTTCTGCAGCAGCTCCATTCCCAGGTAGGCAAGAGCCCATTCACTGGACACTAAGAGGCTTCAGTCTCTTTGAGAGTCCCTCTTGGCCTCACAAGGCACTGCAGCTGTAGGAGTCTGAAGAATTAGTCCCTGCAGCCTCTGAGTGAATCATCCTTTTTTTAC